AAGCAGGCTCTGTCTCCAGGACTTGGAGGCAAGTCTTCTTTCTGTGCTTTTTCTCTCTTCCTCTGCTTCTGCCTAGTCCAGTCCAGCATCTCCTGACATTTTTGTTCTCTTTGCTACTGCCCTTTTTTATAGGTGGCAAACAAAAGATCTTTAACTTGCAAAGCTTTTAAAATGCTTCTGTCTTGTGAGAAAACCTGCCCACTCCTGACTGCCCTTCAGTATTTTGGTAAACTTAAATCACAGACTTCCTTTCCTCATTATCAGTATCAAGACACTAAGACTGCAAGGCTCCATAATCGGACGAGATCGTGATTTCTGTATGCAGGAGCTCATGGTTACTGTGGAGGCTAATGGCAGTTCCTGATTTCAGAAGAATTTGCCATGTTAAATCTTGTTCTTGCTGAGTGAGGAGGCTGTGCTTGCTTTGAGATCACCCCACCACAAGGACAGTAGCCATTTCATGGGATGGCCAGAAAGCAACATCTGGCCACCCTCAGTGGTCCAGGTCACACATGGGAGATGCAGGCCTCTCTGCCCTGGGCAGTCGCTGATGTGTCCCAGATGTTGAGCTGGTGGTCATTGCTTCCCTCCTGACTCTGTAACACTGCTCCTGCTGCTTAAGACACAGCTGCTAGGACACAGCTATCAGACGGTCAGTGGTCTGCACAGAGAGGAGGCCCCGGGTGTGGAGGAGCAGGACAGCTGGTGGCCGGCAGCAGCTGGTGAGGAGGCAGACTCTAAACTGGCAGCAGACTAAGAATTCTGCACGTCATTGGTGTCCCTGTTCATTTCAATGCCTTGTACATTGATGGTGATTAATAAATATTTGTTGACTGGCTGTTGAATGAATTATAGCATTGTTTGTTTTATCTAAAAAGTATAAACAGGCCAGGGATGTAGCTTAGTGGTTCCATGCCTGCCTTGCAAGCACAAGGTCCTGAGTTCAATCGCTAGTACCAAAAAAAAAAAAAGTATAAACAATCCAAATAACCATCAGTATAGAATTATGTATGTAGAGAAATTCTGTGTAGCCACTCAAAAGAAGATGATGTATCTATAGATACTGTATCGGTCAGTGCTTACTAGAGAAACAGATATAATGCAAGATACACAAATATATAAGAATAGGGCCGGGGATTTAGCTCAGTGGTTTCGCCACCTGCTGCGCAAGTGCAAGGACCTGAGTTCGATCCTCGGTACCAAAAAAAACCCACACACACACATATATAAGAATTTACAAGATTGGCTTACAGTGGCCACCCACAGAGTCAGGTGTGTCTGAGTGCTGGAGATCTGAAGGGTCCAGTCAAAGGCCTGGAGCGCCATATAGTGTCTCCATGGGAGTCCATATCAGAAAGCCAAAGAGCTTATAATGGAAGACTGGAAGTCTACACTGGAGGCTGAAGGGTCTGTGTTAGAAGCCAGGAGATGATGTCCAAAGTGAAGGTGAAGGCTGCAGATCCTTCAAAGAAACAGAAGCAGGCCTGCCTTCTTCGTTTCCCCTTTATACTACTATTCAGGTGACAAGCTGCCCTAGGGTGGATCTTCTTTCTTCAGTAAATCGCCTCAGCCACACTCAGAACTATGCTGATCCAATTTAGTTGGGTGTTTCTTACTCAAGTTGACATAATCAGTTAACTATGACAGATACTAACAAGTAGAAAACAAGTTGTAAAACACTCCCCATGTGGGAAAAAAGTTATATAATATATTAAAAAAGAGAGACACTGGGAATGGTGGCAAATGCCTGTAATCTCAGCACTCAGGAGGCTGAAGCAGGAAGATCACAAGTTTGAGCGCAGCCTGAGCAATTTAGCAAATTCAACGCTAGCCTAGACTACACAGTGAGAGCCAGTCTCCAAAAACACCAAAAAACCTACCCCTAAAACAAAACACTGAGCCTCAGAAACATATTTGCATTTAAAAAGGCTAAAAAACATATACATCACACTGTGAAGATTATTCCTGAGAGATGGTGGATAGAGGTCTACCACTTTCCTTTGTTATGCAACTATTATGTTAGCATTTGTTGCGAGATGTATTATACAGTGCTTGAAATCAGAAAAGACATTGTAGAAATAGATTCAGAGAAATCAGAATAATTGATAAAATTGAGTGTTAAGTTCTTTTGCTGTCTTTGTCCCTCTCCTTTTTAAATGGTGACAGACAAAAGATCTTTAATTTGCAAAGACTAATTTTTATCAGAAGTAACTTAAGATCTGAAAAAAAAATTAGAAAATTTTCTGCCGAAGTCCCTTGTAAAGACGATGTTATTGTTTATATAGTGCTTTCTGTATCTGTGTGTCTTGTGCCTACAGACTACATTTCCTGTAGGTATCTTTACAGAACACAAACAATCTCCACATAATTTAGCTGTTTGGGGTAATTCCTAAAGAAATATCTAACGCCAATAAAATTTTCTCTCTTATCACTGGCTAAACTCTCCCCTAATATACATTTAGTACTTGACAGAAAAAATCCCCAACAACATCTATTGACCTGGTGGTCACATTAGTGCAGAATATTTTCTCCAAGATTGCAGCGATGGGTCGTTTTTTCCTTCTTTCCAGCATGTCTGTACACCTCTGAGAATGAGTCAAATGACCGTGGGTTGAGACTTGCCCAACTAGGGCAGTAAAGAGAAAAATTAGTCTAATGCATGGTCTTAACAAGAGGGAGAGTGTGAGCATGAATAATTAATCTCACTAGTCTGTGGCATTCAGATAAAATGAAGTCCCATTTGCTCAACCTTATTAAAAGAGAGAGAGTGCAGAGGGAGGGAGCCATGGTAAAGGTTGTTAAGGGACCAGTAACATGGAAGACCAGCCTTTGAGTCGGTAATGTGTTTTCTAATCTCTGTGGTCTTTAACTAAACACAGCGGTGAAGGTTCTCTTCTGGTAGTTCTGATTCGTTGAATTATTGAACATTTCAGAAACTACTTGACTCTTGACTGCTGACTTAGATGTCTTTATGATGAATTTGTAGAGTCTTTTTGGCGAGGTATTAGATCTCCCTGTATCACTCAGAAATGATTCATCTACTTGTCAAAAAGAACTTCTAGAAAAAGGAAAGATACAAACTGACTCAGTATTGGATTTCACTTCTTAATTTACCATGGACATGTTTCCAATTAAAGGACTAGCTTCCTACTATAGAAGTATTTTTTTAACAAGAAAATATGGACTCAAAATATGGAAAACTCTATAATAATAAGTAGGTGCAAAAGATTACTTTTTTTAAAAGTTAACAAATATTTTTAAAATTGACAGATAGTAGTGTGTATTTATAGGGTATAGTGTGGCATGTCAGTATGTGTATACAGCGAGTGATGATCAGATCTGGGTCACTGGCATATCCACTACTTCAGACTTGATTATTTCTTTGTGTTGGGAACATTTGAAAAAACAGCCATTTTGAAATTGTCACAAAATATTAGTTTTCTGATACACTTCTCAAGTTGCTGTGTTTGAATTTTTTTTGTCCTTCCAGTAATGGATTTTTAGGTTATTAGCTGAAAATAGATTTATTTCTGTATTCTTGCTTGGAAGAATCTTATTTTGATTATTTTAGAATTGTTAAAATTTTCCTGAGTCAGAAACTTGTTTTAACTACATACTAGCTTGTTTTCTGTAATTTTATGAATTAAGAAGGCAGGTTGAGGGCCGAGGATTTAGCTCAGTGGTTCCACCACCTGCCTCGAAAGCGCAAGGACCTGAGTTCGATCCCCAGTACCAAAAAAAAAAAGGCAGGTTGAACTCTGAAGTTATCATTTTTCCTTCCAGATGCTGTTAGCAATCATTAATTAATATTATGGTAATCTTTATCAGGAATTTCACTTGTTAAAGATTCACTTGTTAGAAATGTGTGCTGACAGTGAGATTGGTAGTTTTCAGGGTAGAGGTGATTTAATTTATTATTAATTTCTCAATAAGACCATAAGATTCTGTATAGTGATGAGTGATAAATGTATAGGTTAAGGAAAGCATGTCATTTCTGTATGTGTGCTGTGAGGAGAATCTACAAAGCATTAGTATTAAGCTGTTGAGTTTAGTGCTAATTTTTAAATACTTGCCACATGATCAGCAGGATAGATGGTCTGCTTAGAAGGTGGGATGGGTCTGTGTCAGCAGAGACTTTGACTGTGACTTTGGGGCAGGGCTATTTAACTTCTCAGCACCTACCACAGTGGCCAGAGCTAGGACTTGTAAAAGACAGTATAGTACTCATCCTTTATTTCTACCCACCCCCTTTGCTGGAGAGAGGGCTCAGAAGTAGTTGAAGATGATGACTGCATTGTCTGGAGATCAAAAGCACCTTCTTCCTTTCTTTCATACCTTATGGGCCAGAGCTTCATTCATTTAGCAAGGGAGAGTGGGAAAAAGTTTATTTGATTTGGAGTTTATTTAAAGGAATCATCTGCTGGTTAACCATGCTTCATCTTCCCAGATACATATACTGTTCATTCTTTTCATTCTATGGTATAAATACAGGAATAGAGCCCCACCTCCAACCCCTGGTCATTTACAAACTTCCTGATCCCTTCTTAGCATTCTCATTAATTCCAAATCAGATGTAGTCAGTGATCCTTAGTTTCCGCCCTTTTTTCTGTTAAAGAATTGGGATACCTTGACTTGGGATAGATAGCTCGGGGCAGAGCCCTTGCTTGCTAAGCACAAGGCCCTGGATTCCTTCCCCAGCACCACAATAACAACAAAAACAACAAATTCCTAGTTTCCCATTTGGTGTTTTTCCTTTGTGTCCTATAAGCCTGTTTGTACCTTGACCTGAGGAACTCTTTGATTTTCCGCCATCAATTTTTGCATTTCCTTTTGTCATTCTAATGGCCACATCCCTACACTATCAGTATAGGTACAGAACATTTTCTTTAGCAGGGGGAGAGTGGAGTGCTTATGCTTTGTATGATGGGGAACCTGGAAATGTTTGATGTTGGTCTGGTGTATGGACTTCAGCACCCACATTGTTTCTCCTCCTCTCTCAGATTCTGGTGTACAGCCTGGAAGCAGAACGCTGCCTCTCGAAGCTGGGTAATGCACTTGGTGACTTCACTTGTGTCAACCTCAGAGACAGCCCTCCCAACCTCATGGTCAGCGGCAACATGGACAGAAGGTATGTCTGATTTGAAAAGGCAGCATTTGGTGGCACTGCCTTCTGCGGAGGCTTGGCCTGCCAGCTTCCAGAGTGCTGGCTGGTCTCTGCCACATATACTCCCCAGTTCTCACACTATAGCTTTGCCCACCTGAGTTCAGCCCCAGCAGACTCTGAACTTGGAGAACAGAGTCTTGCATTAGGTAATAGTTGGATCTAGCTGTGTCTCTGTTTCATTTCTGAAGCACCACAGGATGGTTTTCTTTTAGGCCAGTTGGTGGACACAGTTGGTGGAAGGTCCAGTGAGACCACTTGGAATATCTTTTGTCCCCCCACTGCAAAATTTGCTTGGCATTTAAAAGCTCACTTTCTAATATTAAAAACAACAACCTAAGGGATGAATCATGTTCAACAAAATAGGGTTGCCTGCCAAATGATGTCAAGAGTGTATTTCAGAACACTATGGTGTCCCTCTGGTGATGAAGGAAAAAAGAGACTTGATGTGAACAGATTCCAGTTTCTATTTAGCTGATTAGCAGCCTTCTCTTTAACGCATTGGCTTAGGGAGTCGGATTTTCCCGATGCAGGGTCCAGTGCCAGGCCCAGACGCTCCGGGAACCATCAGCACAAAAGGATTAAAGTGTTTGAAAAGACCCTCCAAGTCCAAATTTTAAGTTTTCCCTCCTCCTGCCCCCTCTCCCCCTTGCCTTTTCTTTTCCTTTTCTTTCTTTCTGTCTTTTTTTGGCTGGTTATCTACTGTGTCTGATCCAGTGCCCCGAAGAGAGGTAGCATGGCTGCAGGCCAGGGTCTGCTGGCGCTCCTCCCCTGGGCCCAGCCCCGGGCTGCAGGTGGTGAGCTGCTCGGTGGTGGGTATCAGCTCGTGAGGCAGGCACTCCTCTGTGCCAAATCCCAGCAGTGCAGCAGCTTGCAAAAATAATTATTTTATCAGATAATATTTTCAACTCCTGACCTTCACCTCTGTAGCTTCTCACCGCCCACTTAGAACAAAAAGATAATGTGAGTATGCTCTTTTGGGAAAAAGTATTGATCATTTTTTCTCAAGGCTGCCTCACACAGCTGATATTCTGATGATTGAGAATTGAACTCTGAGCTCAGTTTATGTCCAGGCTTGGTACGTGGCCCCACATCTAGCTCAGCAAATGAAACCGAGCTTTACCTGATAGGTTCTCCACATGTGAGTCTCGAAGCTACTTTTTTTCGAGGAGAGCATCTGTAGAGGGCTTTTGGGGACAGCCAAATGGAAAGGTTTGGGACTGTAGTTTGTGTCCCAGAGTTTGTTTGCAGTGTGAACACTTACATGTTCAGCCAGAGAGAGGCCAGCTCACAGGAAACCAAAACCGTGTTCCAGAGAAGAGACCTCTGCTTTCTGCATACTTTAGCTCACTTAGCTCTAGGAAAGGTAGACCACAGTCAGCTGTATGGCAAGCTGTGTCTGGGAGACCTATGTATACTCAGTACAGCTGTCTTTTTGCTCTGGAGCAGGATGCTTCCTCATGTCCCTGCTGCCAGAAGAGGAGCCATGGGCTCACTGTGAAAGGCCTCTCTGGTTTGTGTGAAGACCAAATTTGACCATGCTAAGTCCACTCTATTACAAAGGCAGTATTACGTTTTTTTAAAGGCCTTTGGCTCTGTGGATGAAAATAACAGACTGGTAACTTACAGTTGGGGGGTGGGTTGTCCAAAGTGCTGTTTAATCAAGCTAGTCCTGTCACTGACCACTGCTGACACATGGGACTAGCTTCATATGTAAGAAAACTCTTTAACAAGTCAAAATAGTAGGGTCTGCCATATGCACTTGAAATACCAAGGTTAAAAATGTTTTGTTTTAAATAAAAATTGTACATCTAGAAAAAGGAATCTATACTTTGTAGTATGGTGGAAGGAAGCCTTGCTTTTTTTCCCCCCAAAGATTTGGTACTGAGTAAGACCTCATTAGAGATGCACTCCCAGGCCTGTAAGCTTGTGTTTTATTTCAGAAGGAGTAAGGGGTCAAATGCTGTGAGGAGAACTATGTCCTTGGCTGTCACTTAATGACGGATGAAATTTTAAGAACTCCTGGGACCTTCTTATTTTCTGAAAAAAACAAACAAACCTTAATTTCCACTGCATTCTCTTAGTACTTTATAAATAGCTTGAGAATGAAATGAACTTTAAAGACATATAAAACTGTTTCTGGTTAAGACAAAAATAAATCATCTTTTATTAAAGTAAGGAAAGCAGCTTGAGTAGTTTGCAAACATGGGTGGAGTATTAAGAGTTTTACTTTGAGGAGAAAAATAGACATCAATTAAAAATTGAAAAGTACTTAGCCTGTTACCCTTTCCAGAGCAAAAAGAACAGAGTATAAATAGAGTCTACCAGAGAATAGGAAGACAGTTAGGGCAGAAACTGAGTGGTTGTCAGATTGTGTTCTTCCCTGGCTGAGGAGCATGGTAGAGGGGCTCTACCCAGAGTGTTATCAGTGTAGATCAGTGAGTTTTTCAAAGTGCGGATTTTGTCTTTCGTGGTACATCATGAAGAAAGGACAAGGAGGAATGTTAGAGAAGTGTGAGGTATCAGGATGGATGATGTATCCACCTTGGTCACCATGGTGTCTGTGTCTGGCTCAGTGCTGCCTGACATTTTTTGTATTCGTTTCCAGGTGTGCCTTTTTAATTTTACTTTTATTTAGTATTTTTCACATCTGTGACATCAGGACATATTATTTACAGTGGCATCATAAAATTAATTGGCAGCATTTTTAAACATTGCATAAAATAATGCTCCTTTGGCAATCTATGGTGTTAAATGAAAGTTAAGTGTTAACTGAAGGCAAGATAAATAGTTTAGGAATTATGGCATTTATGAGAAGTTTGAGTTAAAAAGTCTGCAGGAATTTTTTTGTTTTTGCTTAAATTCTAAATTGATCTTTGGAATCTAAATTTATATGTCTTCCACCAAGTTTGAGAAGTTTTCAGTCATTATTTCTTCCTGTAGTTTTCTTGCATGGGACTCATCCTCCTTTCCTTCTGGGACTTCGGTGATGAGTGTTAGACCATTTGCTCTTGTCCAGCGGGTTACCGATGCTGTTCATTTGCCTTTCCAAACCATCCTCTGTGTTAAAAGACTGCATAATTTCTACCAGTCCATCGTCAGGTTTACTGTTTCCTGTGTCATTTCCACTCTGCCGTTGAGCCCATCCAGAAGTTTATTTCAGATTTTGTATTTTTGGGTTCAAAATTTCTATTAGGGTTCTTATTTCTCTGCGGACAAGGCACTGTCTTCCTCATTATACCTTCATCTCATGGAATATAGTTACATCAGGGGCTTTAAAGCTGTTGGTGATTCCCCAGATTATTAGGGTTGATATTTAGTACTTGTTTTTCCCTTGACCATGGGTCACATTTCCCCATTTCATTTTGTTTGAGGTATGTCAAGTAATTTTGGATTATATCCTGGACATTATGAATATATTATGTTATGTACGTTGGATCCTGTTATATAATTCTCAGGAGAAGGGTTTTTTGGTTTCTTTGGTTGTTTTTTTTTGGTACCGGGGATCGAACTTGGGACCTTGCACTTGGGAGGCAGGCGCCGGAGAAGGGTAATTTTTTTAAAGCAGGAAATCACCTTGGTTAGATTCACACTGCACTCACCATCCTGCTTTCTGTGGGTGGTGCCTCCAGCACTGGCCCAATTTCCAGAGCCTGTGCTATGCTGGGGTTTTTTGTTGTCTTTTTTTCCCATTAAGTTGATTGGTACATTTTCGGTATAAAATACAGTTACATTCATCATTGGGATCTTGTACCTTTACATGAGTATCTTGGTTCTTATTTTTTTCCCCTTTCCCTGTCCTCCCTTCACCCCCTCCACCCTTCCCTATTTGCAAAGACCTTGTTTCCATTTTTTTTTTCCTCTT